GAAAATATGCTATATGAATCGAATTATCATTAATATGATCCTCACTTAGAAGATAATTCAAGTCAACTACCAGAAGCATTTGCTGATCCAAAATTAAATATCATATTTCAGCTGCAAATGCTCCTATTAAAATTAAAGTCCCTGAAGGCTAAAGTTTACTACACGCATGAAGCATAGTAAACCAATCGGTTCCCAAGGTAACAATCCTTGAAAAAGGATAAGAGCAAATGATTAAAATGATCATAATGAGGAGGAAATGAGCTCTAGAAGAGCCCACAACATAATATTTCATGAAACTACAAAAGAAGTTTAGGTACCTGAAAATAAAGGAAGTGATGAGATCTCAACAAGTTATGCCACTTGCAAACCGATACAAAACGATCGTCGACGATATATTTGATACCATATAGTTCACAATATTGTAAAAGATTATGAGGATCGGACTTATAGTCCAGACACCTGAAGATGTCATGCCATATAAATGCAAGTCATAACCTATATGACTCATTTGATTAAGTCTATATGAAGATTCCTGAAGGATTTAAAATTCCTGAAGCATATAGTTCAAAGCATCGTGAAATGTATTCAATCAGATTACAAAGATCTTTGTACGGTTTAAATCAATTTGGGCGCATGTGATATAATCGCCTCACTGAATTGATGAATGAAGGTTATGTAAATGATCGCATTTGTTCATGCATTTTTACAAAGAAAACAACATCATAGTTTGTTATACTTATTGTTTATGTTAATGGCATAAATATCATAGGAACTCCAGAAGAACTCCAAAGGAAAAATTTTTGTCTTAGTCTGCAAATTGAATATTTAGCAGACGGGATCTTTATCCATCAACCTGTCTATACAGAAAAGGTCTTAAAACGCTTTTACATGAACAAAGCACACCCATTAAGTACACCAAATGGGTGTTCAATCACATGAAGTGAATAAGGATCCGTTCCGACCTCTAGAAGAGGATGAGGAACTCCTTGGTCCTGAAATACTCTATCTCAGTGCAATTGGTGCACTTATGTATCTTGCTAATGCTAACAAAGGTGGTGCAGATCATATTGGTTGTGCAGATGCATGTTATTTATCCGATCCCCATAAAGTTCGTTCTCAAATTGGGTATGTGCTTACATCTGGAGGTATTGTCATATCATGGCGCTTCACAAAGCAATCTATTATTGCTACTTCTTCATACTGAGATAATAGTTATTTATGAAGCAAATAGGGAATGCGTATGGTTGAGATCTGTGATTCATTTTATTCGAAAAAAAATATGGGTTGGAATGTGATAAAAAACCCACAATATTATATGAAGATAATGTTACATGCATAGCCCAATTAAATGGGTGATTTATAAAAGGAGATAGAACGAAGCACATTTCACCAAAATTATTCTACACACATGATCTTCAGAAAAATGGTGACATCGATGTGCAACAAATCCGTTCAAGTGACAATTCATCAGATTTGTTCACTTTGCCAACTTTAACTTTTGAGAAGATGGTATACAAGATTGAAATGCGGAGACTCAAATATTTGGAACAAGGTTTTCATCAGGGGGAGTGAAATACGCGTTGTACTCTTTTTTCCTTACTAAGGTTTTTCTCATGGGGTTTTTCTTATAAGGTTTTTAATGAGGCAACTAGAATTGCGTATTGCTAAATATGTGTACTCTTTTTCCTTCACTAGGATTTTTTCCATCGGATTTTTTCTAGTAAGATTTTAACGAGGCACAATATCTTTTAATGAACATCCAGGGGGGTGTTATAAATATATTATATTATGCGTGTTCATTTAGTACTCCGTTATAAATAAATTTCCTGAATAAGCTTATCCATATGGGACTCCGCCGTAAATATGTTTATCTATTTAGTACTTTATTGGAAATAAACCTCCTGAAGAAGTTTATCCTTTCGGTACTCCGTTATGGATAAATATTATCTCTGGTAGAAGATTATCTATATCTGGTACAGTAGCAACTTACAAGCAGCTTATACAACAGCTTACAAGCAGCTTACACAATAGCTTGCAATAGCAGCTTAAACAACAGCTTTCTTTCTTCTATAAATAGAGAAAAATTCAGTTTATTATGTACATTAGTTTGAATTTGAATAATATATCAATCTCTCTTTATACTTGTTTTCGATTTTTTTACTTTACGTTTTTATTTTATAACAATTTCTCCATTATAGTAACAAACTAAGCGGTTCTGATTTCTTGTTGTAAATAGCTGCAACTTGTCAATTCTTTCTTAAATCAGAGAAGATGAAAATGCAGAAGAAAGATTTCAAAAGAAAAAGTGTAATAGCTGCCCAAATTGGACCTCGGAATCGGCAATATACACCTGCGTGTGTCCATACTGTGGTTGGTCAATCTGAAGTAGCTGAAGGAACATTGAATTTCTGAAGAAAATTAGCCCACCTTTAGTTCCAAAAAAACAAAAAAGAAATCTACTCTATCGGATTAATACCGGAGTAAATTTTATGGGTGGTCATTCAATTTTGTATTCATTACCCAAAAGTCATTTTTCTTTCTTTTGTTACGTAAAAGTCATTCAACTTTGTGTTCATTACTTAAAAGTCACTTTTCTTTCTTTTGTTACACAAAAATCATTTTACTATGCTCTAGTTATCACAATAATAACTTTGACCAGATTTTACAAACTTTTCACCTGAAAAGTCTATTATACCCTTGATATCATAAATTCTCTCATTTGTGTAATACTTTCTATATTATATGCCATATAATATACTTTTATGCATGTATTTTATTTATAATTAAAATAACTTAATATTATTTTATTTATTATTTTCATAATATATTCGTACATTTAATTTTTTCTTAATATTAATTTTTAATATATATCAGTAGCATTATTAAATTTGTCAGTAATATTACCGCGAACAAATCTCAAGTTCAAGTTCTTAATCATGCTTAATGAAATATGTTTAATAAAAATTAAAAAACCAAAGCTCATTGATTTATCAGCCAAGCCATACCCATTAATTTAATAAATAAAATACCCACATTTAGCAAAATGACACATCAGATTAATACTTTTAAATAAATAATATTAATAAATAAAGCTTTAAAAAATTTAATATTAAACACAAATATCTTCTAATTTTTTAAAAAAAAAATTATTGACTATAAAAAACTATCATTTGTTAAACAAATATATTTTATTATTTAAAATAAATATTAAAAAATAAATATATTTTTAATTATTTTTATATTTAAAATATGTTCATGTTTGAATATGATTAAACAAATTGAGTGCCATAAAAAAATTAAACGAATGGATATATTATAAAAATAATAAATAAAATAACTTAAAGTTATTTTAATTATAAGTAAAATACCTAGGTAAAAATATATTATATAGTATATAATATAGAAGGTATTATATAAATAAGAGGATTTATAATGTCAATGACATAATAGACTTTTCAAGTACAAGTATTATAAAATCTGGTCAATGTGACTTTTGTGATAAATAGAGCAAAGTAAAATAATTTTTGTGTAACAAAAGAAAGAAAAGTGACTTTTGGGTAATGAACACAAAGTTGAATGATTTTTATGTAACAAAAAGAAGAAAAATAACTTTTGCGTAATGAACACAAAATTGAACGGTCACCCAATTTACTCTTAATATCATTTATACCAAAGGTTTCAACTTTGAAGTCAAGGACTAAGAAATTGTGTGGGGAAAAAAGATTCCGACACCATTATTTATATCAAATCACATTATATTATCATCTTAAATGATAAATTGAGGTGATAATATATCTATGTATAGATATTACTCATATCAGTAATAATAAAACACATATTCCAGATTTATTATATTACCCATACCCATTTTTTCTAAGCAGAAGTATAGAAAATGCAGCAGAATACTAATTAAGACATTTCAATCCACCCTTCACTGCATAAAAAGCAACGCATTAAGAAGAAAAGATGACATCAAACTGCACTATCACAATCAGCAGAGCAACTTCCTTCTACTTCTTTTCTCATAAATAGTCAAATACTGGTAGTAGTAGTAGTAGTACTAATTAAAACGGTCAAATCAAATCATAAAAAGACAAAAAAATAAAAGAAGGCCACCAAATTCCCGTCCAGAGGCCAAAGGCAAACGACTCCAACAAGAATACCCACTGACTTTCGCATTCTTTGACACATGGGGCAATAACCTAATATTATTCTAAGTTCTAACCCATTACTGAAATCAACGGAACCCGACAAGCACATTCCTCAATCCTCCCTTTTCAACTTTCATTCAAATGAGGGATAATAACACTATTCGTCACTCAAATTATTGATCAATTTTAATTTTAATCCTTATATGGTACAGTTAAGTTTTAAATTTATTAAAATGTGTTATATTGTCTTCGTTTCACGTTGTTGACAACACTATTTCCGTTTTAAACATAATAGCATTATTTCTTTAGTGAAATTTTTTTATAATCAACAAATGTTATCAAATGTTTAAGACTATAAGTTTTGAAAAGTCTTATAGCTACACAGATGTTATAATATTATAATATGTTTAAGACCATATATATTTTAAAAATCTTTTTTCTTTCTTAGACTTTGTGCCTAGTCAAATGGTGCCAAATAAATTGAAACATAAAGAGTATAAGAATTATGCTAAATTAAAATTATATTACCATATTATTCTTAAATGTGACGTAACATAACACATGAATAATTAAATAATATAATAATTAAAATAATTCATTAAACTCGTAAAAATTCAAAAGCGGAAAAGAATCAAACTACATATTCTCATAAATTGAAAGTTAACGTGTTTAACTATTTATTGATATTTAAGGGACTAAAACTGCAAAATTCATCAACTTTCTAATCAATGGTGACTTAGGTTTTCGGAATAATAAAGCAAAAAAAAAAAAAAAAAAAAAAAAAAAAAAAAAAAAAAAAAAAAAATTCGTTATATATACTTACACAAGCATTATTCCCTACCATTCCTCTCCGCTCTTCTCGCAAAACCTAAACAAAAAAGACCATCTCTTTCCTCTGTTTTTTTCAATCTGCATGCCTTAACATAACCCTTATACAACAAGGAGAAAGGAGAAAATTTTGTAATTTTCTCCATTCTCAATCACAGAGAAGCTCCATTAGGCAATATAGCCAATGGCAGCTCCTACCTATCTCAATCGCTTTACATTCAAGAAGCTACCTTTAACTACCGTTCCTGTGCCTTTGCTAATTCATGGCTTAGTTGGTTTCTTCTTGTTGTACATAATCTTTGATTGGGGAAGAAAATTTATCAACTTTTTGTCCCAAGCACAAAATTCTAAAAAATCCACCAAAGTTGGTCCATCAGACCACCTGGAAAAAAACAAGAAAACAACCCCTTATATGTTAGTTGATGGAAGCTTATGCAGAGAAGAGGTAGAGATTATAATGGCTAAATTGGGAATTTTTTGCCACCCTGAAGGTGAAAAACTACAGGAGAGGTTTGATTTAGACAATTTATATGACTTGTTTGGAGAAGAAGAAGAAGAAGAAGAAGAATATAATAATATGCAGGATTTAGGAGAAGCTTTTGATGTATTTGATCAGAACAAAGATGGTTTTATTGATGAAAGGGAATTGCAGAGAGTGCTGTTTGCTCTTGGATTAAAGCAAGCTGCAGAATTGGAAAATTGCAGAAAGATGATCTTGGCTTTTGATGAAGATGGCGATGGCAGGATCGATTTTGAGGAATTCGTAAAAATGATTTAATGATTTTTGTTAAGCTTAATTTTACTGGATTTTATTCTTTTTGCCTAAACAAGAAAATATTATAATTACCAATGGCTGATCCCATTCTTTGTTGGATATGTTTTTTTTTTTTCCCTTTTGGTAATAGTTTTATTTTTTATGAAACTTTGCGCGACTATTTTGTTTTAAGAATCTCCTAGTTCCAAACACGTCTTTATTGTGTTAATGTTGTTGTGGGTGGTTTGGTAGCGTGCGTAAGAATTATAGTGAGTTATGCCGGAATTATTTATGAACGAGTAATGTTGGAATTTGTTATTCTATAATTATTTCTTATTGTTTGGTTTGGTATACTAAAAATAATATGCATTGCATAATTTTTAAAAAAATTATTTATTTATAAAAATACCCTCCATATTCTTTAAAAATGATTTGGAAAAGGTTTTGAAATTCTCATACATGTTTATCCTCGTGGTATTGCCAATGTCATGGTTTGCAATATATAAGAATAGTACCGAATAATGTGTATAACTAATATATGTACGTATTACTTATACATAAGTGAAAAAAATACTATTGTACCAAATGAGGAATTAATAATACCAAAGTTAATAAATATATTATTTTTCCTAATAATTCATACCAAACGACCCCTTATTATTATTATTATTGCCATTGCTAGTTTATTTGAATTATATTGATGTAATTTTATTTTTCACTGAAATATTTGAAGGGGTAAAAAAAACTCTGTCTTCTGGAAATTTTTAGCACACTTAGCTTATAGTATGTATAATCTAGTCCATGTAACTAGTTCTTCGGCCGTGTGTTATATATCGTAGGTCCTGAAAATTTTAATCAATATGATAGTGTAAAGAAGACCATTTCAATAGGGGTTGCAGACTTGCAGCTCTTCTGTCCTTTTTCAGAAGTTAAATGCAATTGAATAACTCGTTATCTTTTCTTTCATCCCTTTTTCTAGGGTGCTTATCACTTAGTAATCCTCTTTTGTTGTCTTTTTTTTATTTATTATGGTGTCTTCGTTACTTTAAGACAAAGAGGCTACCAAAAACAAGAATGTCTTCGTTCATTTGGAATTCTCAATGTTTCGTAGGAAAAGGGCTTCTTCAAACAAAGACCAACATCTTACAATGGGCTTAGCTCCTGAAATATGTTTTTTTTTTGGGCTCTTTACCTAACTAAAAGGTGAAGATGATTGAGGAGCGGCTTCGTACAACACAGTCTAGTCAGAAAAGTTATGTTGACAGGAGGCTCGTGATGTTGCATACATGGTGAGTGAGAAGATTCTACTAAGCGTTTTGCCCACGAGGGGTGTGATGAGATTCGGGAAGAAGGGAAAGTTTAGCCCAGGTATATTGGTCCTTTTGAGGTGCTTGAGAGGGTTGGAGGGGTGACCTACAGACTTGCCTTGCCACCTAGTTTATCGGGTGTTCACCCAGTATTTTATGTTTCGATACTCCGGTAGTATTATGGTGATCCGTCACATGTTTTGGACTTTAGCACGGTACAACTAGATGGGGATTTGACCTATGATGTGGAGCCGATGGCTATTCTGGACTTACATGTTTGAAAGTTGAGGTCGAAGAATATAACTTTAGTGAAGGTGCATTGGAGGGATCCGCTAGTTGAGGAGGCTACATGGGAGACCAAGCGAGAGATGCGGAGCA